GTCCACAGGGGTTGGGGCACTGCCACAAGGACCCTGGGAGGAGAGGGGGAAGGAAAGTTCTGTTGGAAAGCACAGATTTGTCTATTTATATGTTGTAAAGTTAAAATAAAGTGTTTCTTATTGTTTGATACTTCCCTTGTAGGTGGGTGTAGGGTTGTGCTGCCTCTTGTGCAAAGGAAGAGGGAGATGATGAAAAAGCACCTGGGATCAGTGAGGGAGAGGAGCCCCGTGTGTGCCGTGGCAGCAGAAGGTTCTAGAAGGAGAGCAAACAAATAAACAGCTGCACACAATAGCACACATGAAGAGTTGCACTTTATTTCAGGGCATGGTCCCCCGCAGTGGCAGGAATTGGTCGTTACAAACATCAGGTCACAAATGGGGTCACCAAGCAGTGTCACCAGAGCAGCACCAGGGGCAGCTGCTGGGGCTGGGAACCATCCCAAACACAGCCACAACACTGCTCCCTCCTGGAATGAACCCTGGTGGGGACACCCAGAGCCTGTGCTGGGTCTCTGAGTGCTCCAGCAGAGCTGGTGCCTCACATTCCAGGAGTGTGAAGCCAGGAAACAGCTGCAGTGAGGGGAAACACAGCCAAATACCCAGATCTGGCAGGCAGTGAGCACACCCCACATTCCCCACAGCAGGGGCTGAACCCCCCTGTTGTGCAACACTGTTCTCTTTATAGTTCAACAAGGGGAAGCGTTTCCAGGCTGGCAAGAACCAGGGCCTTGGTGCTTCCCAGAGCTCCATCCCTGCAAAAGCACCAGCACCTGCCCCAGTGCCTTCCAGGCAGGGCAGCTGCAGCCTGGACCAGCCCTGCCCTGCTCCTGCTCCGAGTGCACAAGCTACAGTTCAACAGCCAAACCCAGAAAGGGCAGGAAAAACCTGCAGAAAGCAGAAATTGAAACAGCAAGTCTCCTACTGAGTGTCTTGAGCAAAGAGAGTGAAAGGAAGGGGACTAAAGCTAACACTGACTACAGCAACAACCTCTTTTTAACCTGCTGCTGCTCCTGGGTGAAGATCCAAGGAAACAGCCAAAAAAACCAAAAAAGGCAGAGGGAAACCTTGTGTTTGTGCTGTGAGTGCCCAGCACACTGCTGTCCTGGCCCNCTCCTGGAGCTCCTCTCCCAGCTCCATCCCTGCGAGGAGGCACAGCCCACACTCCTGGAGCTCCTCTCCCAGCTCCATCCCTATGAAGAGGCACAGCCCACACTCCTGGAGCTCCTCTCCCAGCTCCATCCCTGTGAGGAGGCACAGCCCACACTCCTGGAGCTCCTCTCCCAGCTCCATCCCTGCGAGGAGGCACAGCCCAGCCCCTGGAGCTCCTCTCTCAGCTCCATCCCTGCGAGGAGGCACAGCCCAGCCCTGGAGCTCCTGTCCCAGCTCCATCCCTGTGAGGAGGCACAGCCCAGCCCTGGAGCTCCTCTCCCAGCCCATCCTTGTGCTTTTCCTGCAGAGCTGTGAGCAGAAGTCCATCCGGAACACGAGCATCCGCGTGGCCGACTTTGGCAGCGCCACCTTCGACCATGAGCACCACACCACCATCGTGGCCACGCGGCACTACCGGCCCCCAGAAGTGATCCTGGGTGAGAGCTGCACCTTCTGGCCATGGGGAACCAGCCTGGGAATGCTCCAGCTCTTGGGCAGATCATTTCTAGTGTGGAATTTCTAGTGTCTAGCTCTTGTGGATAATTTGTGAGTGGAATCCCTCTGGTTTCACCAAGGAGGAACCTGGTGGGAGTTGTTGGGTGTGGAGGTGTTCACAGGGGTCCCAGGATGAGGGAAGAGATGGGAATGCTTCAGAAGGCTGATTTATTTTATGATATATTAAAAGAAAATGATATATTAAAACTATACTAAAAGAAAGGATTTTATCAGAAGGCTTGAAAGGAATAGAAAAATAATTGAATGATAATAAAATCTTGTGACTGACCAGAGAGTCCGAGACAGCCAGACTGTGATTGGCTATTAATTATAAACAACCACATGAGACCAATCACAGATGCACCTGTTGCATTCCACAGCAGCAGATAATCATTGTTTACATTTTATTTCTGAGCCTTCTCAGCTTCTCAGGAGGAAAAATCCTAAGGAAAGGATTTTTCATAGAATATGTCCGTGACAGTTGGGAGCAGAGAGTTAATTTGGTTTTCTTTGCAGAGCTGGGCTGGGCACAGCCCTGTGATGTCTGGAGCACTGGCTGCATTCTGTTTGAGTATTACCGTGGCTTCACGCTCTTCCAGGTAGGATTCTTGTTCCCTGAGAAACCTTTGTGTCCAGAAGGGCTCAGAATTAAGTGAAGGGGAGGGAAACACAGATCAAGCACTGAAAATGAGAGGCTGAGTGTGAAAATGAGGCCTGGGAAAGGGCTGGTTTGAGGAGTGCCTTGCTGGAAGGACAGAGTTGGGATCGCATCTGGGTGTTGGTTATGTCTGTTCTCTGAGGAAAGGGAAAAGCAAAACGTGAGAAGTTGGATAGGACCTGGTGGAATCCTTTCTCCCTGTCCCTGCAGAGGTGACAAACCTTTTGTCACCAGCTCCCCCAGCTCTGACTAACCCAGCACTGCTGTGCTCCTTTGCAGACCCACGAGAACCGAGAGCACCTTGTGATGATGGAGAAGATCCTGGGGCCGCTCCCATCCCACATGGTCCACAAAACTCGGTAAGAGCCTGGTCCTGAGCTCAGCCAGGCACCACCAGCTGGAAGGGAGGGAGAGCTCCTGCCTGACCCCCCTTCCCCGTGCAGGAAGCAGAAATACTTCCACAATGGCAGCCTGGTGTGGGATGAGAACACGTCCGACGGCAGATACGTCCAGGAGAACTGCAAACCCCTGCGGGTGCGTGCTGCTCCCTCCCTCCCTGGGCAGGGCTGGGGCTCAGGGCTGCAATTCCCTTTGGGACTGCTTGGCAGGGAGCCCTGCTCGGGATAGGGCAGGATGGGGATCAGGGAGAGGGGAATGATGTGTTTGGGGTGGGAGGCTGCCCTGGCCCAGGGTTCCTGAGTCCCTGTGGGTATCAGGGCTGTGGGGGATGCTGTGTTTGGGATGGGAAGTGCTGGGGGATGCTGTACTTAGGACAGGAAGCAGCCTTGGCTCTAGAGTTCCTGAGTCCTGAATATCAGGGCAGTGGGGGATGCTGTATTTGGGATGGGATGCTGTATTTGGGATGGGAGGCAGTCCAGGGGGATGCTGGATTTGGGATGGGAAGCAGTCCAGGGGGATGCTGGATTTGGGATGGGAAGCTGCCCTGGGGGATGCTGATTTTGGGATGGGAGGCAGCCCTAGGGGATGCTGTATTTGGGGTGGGAGCCTGCCCACTGCCCTGTGGGTATCAGGGCAGTGGGGAATGCTTTATTTGGGATGGGAAGCTGCCCTGGGGAACGCTGATTTTGGGGTGGGAGGCTGCCCTGGGGGACGCTGTATTTAGGATGAGATGCTGTATTTGGGGTGGGAGGCAGTCCTGGGAAATGCTGTATTTGGGATGGGGTGCTATATTTGGGATGGGAAGCTGCCCTGGGGGATGCTGTATTTGGGATGGGATGCTGTATTTGGGATGAGAGGCTGTATTTGGGATGGGAGGCAGTCCAGGGGGATGCTGTATTTGGGATGAGAGGCTGTATTTGGGATAGGATGCAGTCCTGGGAAATGCTGTATTTGGGATGGGAGGCAGTCCAGGGGGATGCTGTATTTGGGATAGGATGCAGTCCTGGGAAATGCTGTATTTGGGATGGGGTGCTGTATTTGGGATGGGAGGCTGCCCTGCCCAGGCAGGGGCTGAGCT